CCCTTGCGGGGCTAGGCTGCGAAGCGCTCGCTTGATCCCTAATTAGCTAACCCCGTACATAATAAGACTGTTACGAATTCTGTCAACACCAGTTCTTCACAACTCCCGTATGCAATTAAAGTATAACATACCAGCAACCTTTGGTCAAGACCGTGTTGGAGGAGAGGCGCCTTGCAGCAGCCCGAAGGACCGCCGAGGTGGGCAAGGGCTTCCGAGATGCAACGCTGATGTTCAGTCTTGCTCACGAGCGGTCCTGAGGAATGCAGGGGAGTCAATGTAGTATAGTATGCCTGCTCAACCCGCTGGTCGAATGTTGCTCAGGTATGCACGGCGCCACAAACCAATTTCCTGAGGGGGCTTGCAGGGTAGGGTTCGCCATTCTTCTCGGTCGCTAAGCTCGCAAATGTCAAGCCAGCCCTAAACCCTAAACAATAAACCATACACGATGGAGTGTCAACAGCCTTCGAAACCGCTTTGGAGTCCAACCGTTGCTCGTGACTTTTTGTTTAAGGCCTGATTGTTGAGTGATGGGGATAGCCGCCGATAAGTGGTTCGGATATCCTCATCGTTGGTCATCCTTCTGCTGACAGGTTTGGGCACATCAGACACTGCATGCCATGTTCTCGCCCAAGCCCGAGCTACATATAGATCACCGGTACAGCAGCAGCAGACGTAGGATGCCTAGGGAAAGGTGGAGTCGCCTCGCCGTCGTAGCACAAGCAACCGGAGCCTCAAATTATGAGTCTAGTGTTGGAGTCGGAGAAGCCACCAATATTCTTCCTTGCAGTTCCTTCATATACTTTTTGTTTTGTATGCACCGAAACCCTGTTAAAGAAGAGTGGCCCTTACAAAAGCGCATGCTGCTCCATGCTGTGCACCAGGAAGAAGTCCAGCGAGAGAAGAAGGCGCCATGCACCCAGCTCCCACCATGATCAAGGAAGCAGCCCCATGTGCACTGATCGGTGAAGGAAATGCTCGCTCACTACAGAGCTGCCCGGAGGAAGAGTCTTCAGCTTTCAGAGAGCAGAGGGCTCTCACGAAGTTGCACGCGATAGTGCTGAACATGTCTGTCTGGTGCTTAGTAGGGAATGGGAGAATGGATCCCTATGATAGTCCCTTAAGGTCCCTTACAGTAGTCCCTATAACCCAGTCCCCCATTCCCAACTAAGCACTATACCGATGTTGGCAGGGACTGTCAGAGATGAAAGGCCAACAGTAGCTGCAGTCAGAAGAAGCCACCGAAACCTGAAACGCTCATCCTCCGAAACCCTCAACCCTCAACCCTAAACCCTCAACCCTCAGCCCTAAACCCTAAACCCTCAACCCTAAACCCTAAACCGTGCCCCAAAAGCAACCTCGGGCTCGCCGAGGGGTGACGTTGCGACCTACTTAGCTCGGAGGCATCGCTTTGCCCGGCGCTGATCTGCTGATTCTGGCGGTTCTGTCCGTGACACATTTTCCCAATCCTTCACCCTAAACCCTAAAACCCTAAACCCTAAACCCTAAGCCGTCTTTTTGTTGGGTAGCATGGTGGTAGGCCCAGAAGCAACGCACGTGGCAAGGGCGTTGCAGTTCTTGAGGTCCGTGCACAAAGCGTAGTTCCTCAAGCCCACGACACCGAAGCCCTTGACTTCAAAACCCGTCTTCGACCCCGGGCAGCTAAATCAGCGTCCGGCAGGCACGACCGTAACAACCAGGGTTTAGAACCCAAAATGAAATGTCATAGCCCCTTGGAGACCTAACGACATGATACTAGCTTCCATTGCGCACTTTCGACTGACCAGTGTAACATTCTCCTCCAGTCAGCGGGGGTCAAGGGACCCTGAAGGAAATCGTGATGACTTCGCTTGTGATCACGACTTGTGCCTGGAGCCACCCGCCCTTCTCCCTACATGATCACCTAGTTTCGTAGTACTCGAGGTTCCAAACTAGCTGCTTCTGTGTGTTACGGGACGTCGAGGCCTGGGGAAGCACAGTCCTCCTTTATCAGGTTCCTCATCGTATGTGGGGTTTCGTTGCGAGGTTTCCCCAGAGGTCAGATACCCCTCAGCTCTGGTTTCACTCTTCCTAAACCCTAAACCCTAAACCCTAAAACCCTAAACCCTAATATAACATGCCTCGCCTGGGGTGTCCGAGCGTGAGCGCCGAAACCACGCCGAGGTTGATCCGATGTTCCGGCGTCGACGTTTGAAGTGGACCTGCTCCCAGCACTGTTCTCGCATGGGGTCATTTTTCTGGGTTTCATGATTAGCAACAAGGGGTTCAGGAGTGTAGGGGTTGACGTCAAGCGTTTCGGGTGTGGGCTTTAGGGTTTATATATAGATATATATAGGGCAAAACCCTACCAAGATCCAGAAATTGTAGAGATTTGGCAAGACGACCACAGTCAGTAGGATTCTTGGACGATCTTCGTCTGGTTGCAGTGCCTGGTTGTCTGTATGTATGTATGTATGTATGTATGTATGTATGTATGGATGGATGTATGGATGCATGGACGCGGCGTGTTTTCTGAGAAAGATCGTTATTTGCAGGCTGCCAGGCCTGGAGCAAAAAGGACGCAACAATGGATGCACCAAGGTTGGAGGTGTGGGTAGTGTGAACCCAGAGACCCCAATATTCCTTCATTAAGGAATATACCTTAAATTAAAGTAGGATCCTTAATATGATTAAGGGATATACCCTAAATTATAGTAGGATCCTTAATCTGATTTAAGGTATATTCCTTAATTAAGGGGATATTGGAGTCTGGGGATGTTGCCGCTGGAGCTGTGCGCGGTTAGGAGGATACGAGGAAGCACACACGAGCAAGGCCGTGCTGGCAAACTGCGTGGCATCGAAAGGGAGGCTTTGCCTAAACGAGGGGCCTAAATAATTGCCAATATATATTTTTTTGGGGGGGGGGTTCCTTATTATACCTGTAAAGTATAATGTACCCCTAAAGCCCTCTCTAATCCTATTTTTTTTTTGGGGGGGGTTCCTTATTATACCTATAAAAGTATAAGGTACCCCTATAACCCTGTTCGAATCATTCAGGCCCCT